TCTGGTCTGTATTCCATATATGTATGATTATATGTATTTTTGCATATCAGCCAACATGTTCTGTCTGTATTAGACCTCTGAGGAAGGCCTGTAAAGGCCGAAACGCATCAGGTCTATCTTATTAGCCCTTGTATGTTTTTATATTTGTATATGAGGTAGGAATGGGCCCTTGTTTGTTATTTTAATTTATGTTGAATAAATATATGTACATTTTTGTATATTTCATAATTAGATTTTTAGAGTTGGCCCTCTTCTATTCTTGACTAACCTTTTTAGGTTCTAGTTTCTAGAGGTTCCACCTATCTGGAAGCAGCCATGGAAGTCATTCCTTCCTGCTGGAGACAGGTGGGGCTAAAACAGGCAGCTTACCAGACAAGGAGCTGTGGTGGCTCAATTGGTTAAGATGCTGAACTGCAGGCTGTGGCAGATCGGTAGTTCAGCAGTTTGAGACCTGAGTGTGCAGCGTGACGGAGTGAGCTCCCATCTCTAGTTCCAGCTCCTGCCAACCTAGCAGACAAGAAATTGCAAGTTGATAATAGGTACCACTTCATTGGGAAGGTAACACCATTCCGTGCACCTTGGTGTTTAGTCATGCCAGCCACATGACCACAGAAATGTCTTTGGACAGCGCTGGCTCTTCGGCTTTGAAATGGAGATGAGCACTGCAACCTTAGAGTCGGATTCGACTGGCTTTCGAGCAAGGGAACCTTTACCTTTACCAGACAGCATCTCTGAGGGGAGAGGCATGCTTGATAAAGCAAGCAAAAACATGTAGAACAATTAATATTGAAAAAAGAAAAAAGAGAAACCACACAACTGGAAGGTTCTAATACTGGTTTTATGTACACAAAAACACTTACATGTGTGAATATAAACTTAAATACATGTAATTTTAAAAAAGGAATACCAAAACTGCTTGCAGTCAAGTAATGACAATTGCACAATGGGAAGATTCTGCCAAGCACTGCTCCCATGTGGCTGCCACTGTTTTCCTTGGGGTTTGCTCAGAGAGCCACACAGGCCCCGTCAAAAGGACCAGAAGCTGCACAATAGCAGCATAGCTTGGTGGACTGTGCATTGCATCAACACAACTTGCCTCTCAAACTTTCAGGGTGTGCACTGTCTTAAACCAAGATACGGAGCGCTGCCTATTAGATTACGATGACCCACTCATTCAACTGGTTCCCCTGGGCAGCAGGGTTTATGCTCCCTAAGACACATCACACCCTCTCAGGAGAATCACTCAGGAGGCGCTTGTGGAGGTTGGCCCCGGAAACTGGGATTCTGCCCATCAGAGGCCTCCCCCCAGTGGATGCAAAAGAGATTTGGCTCTGAGGTAAACAGGGCTTTTTTGTTTATTTTGTTTTATGAAAACAACCAAATTTATTTAGAGGGGGAATAGGGTTCCCTGGGCATCTTCCGTTTCTTCCCGCCCTGGGAAGGGATGTAGTTGCCACCGGGTTGAGTCCCACCCTCCCCTCTGATCCCCTGGGTGAGGTCAGTGAGGGCGGCCAGCGTGCCCTGAAGGATGCCACCCAGGGCCTCCCGGGTCTGCCTCTCCTCCTCAAGAGAGGCAGTCATTAGTCGCACAAAGTCCTCGTGCTCCCTCTTTGCGGTCTCCTGCTGCTCCTGATGGCACTGCGTGGCTTGTTCCATCATCTTTTCTCCCACTTTTTGGACTGCCGAAACCCGCCTGGTCCTGGCCCTAATATAGGCCAGGCGGGATTTCGGAGAGAGCTCCGACATGACCACGGCGGGTGGAAAATCTGTGGTTGGGGGAGATAAAAGGGAAAGATACGCCGGGGAGTGGTTGACACGCAGCAGCCCTAGTCTCCATTCACCACCACCTCGTGGCCTGCTATGCCACACCACCAGTGAGTCAAGGGTTCAGACTTACCTGTTGGGTTTCCGACAGGAGGACTCCCACATGCCACTGTCTGGGTGGAGGTTGATGTGCCTGTGGTACACGGGTGAGAATAGGAGTGTTACACGAGAGACAATACCGGCTGCTTGACTCATTATATCTTGCAGAAGTGCACAGAAAACTAAATGCCAATTTGCCAGTACACGCTCAGGGGGAAGTGGCAGGGGGAAAGCTTTGGGTGGCGGAGGGGGTTGGTTGTGCGAAGCATTATGGACAGAAATAAACCATAGTGATAGTCATCCCCTGAGAGCTGGTCTCACCATACCCACCTTCCAGTTGTGGTAGATCCTCCATATTTCCCTCATTCACTGCATCATCCTCAGCCTCCTGGGTCAGGGGGATGTCGATGTCTCCTTCTGGAATGAAGAGAAAAGGCAGCCTGATGTCAATTTACCAGCTTCAATTAACTGCGTGCTGTGCTACAGAGGAATCACAGGTATTAGAGGCAACCACACAGCCATTCCTGAGGGGCAGGTGGCTGGAGCAATGGGAAGGTTGAGGAGTCAAATCCTGGACAAGGCAGAATGGCTGTCAAGGCAATATTTCTGAGGGGTATCATGGCATACTGTCAGGTTGACGTACTTTAAAATTTCCACTGGCCTGGATGTACTTTTTGCAATGGAGAATGGCTACATGTTCTGGTTGCCAAATTGCCCGTCATAGTATTATGAGAACAATCCGGACTGCTGACTATAGGGAGAAATTACCTCAATCACCAGAGGGCCAGGGCTGGAGAGTGTGGGGTGGGTTGCTTTGTGACTTGGCGGTGGATCCCTCCCACAATTGTATATGGACCTAGATATATACTCACCAAGGGTGCTGGTTTCGCCCTCTTCTAGCAGGGAGGCACGGAGGCTTTGCTGGCTGGTGCCAGGAGCTGTCCCCTCAGCAATACTGTGTGACAGCCTCCTCCCTGTCGCACTCACCCTCCCATGGAGGATCCTGCTCACCTGTGTGAAGTAGGGGCAGGGCTTGAATGGGGCACCCGAGTTTTCATTTGCTGCCATCGCCTCTTTGAACTTCGTCCGCAGATCTTTGGTTTCACTGCAGCACTGCTCTGGGGTTCACACAAAGCCCTTGGCAGCAAGTTCCTTAGAGATCTTGCGGAAGATCTCTATGTTTCTCTTGTTATGGGACAGCTCCTCCTGAATGTTTAATTCCCCCCAAAGGGCTAGGAGGTCCAGGGTCTCCTGGTGCTGCCAATTCATTCCTTTCCCTGCTGACATTATGGCAGAGTGACAGGTTCCCGCCAAAAGCATCCCCTGAGGTGAATATGTGAAATGAAATCCAGCACAAGACAGTTACCCGTGCTGCCTAGGTACTATTTCACCTTCAATCTAGCCCCTCTAACGAAACACTTCCCTTTGGACTTCTGACCCGAAAATGGCCTCCATGAGATCCCACACTTGTCTAAACGCTAAAACGAGTGACCATGTAAACTTTGGTCTTATTAACGCTGAGGCGAAGCTCCGCTCATGTGCATACCGCCGACGCTTATTTTTATTTTTTTTTTAAATGGCAGACGAAAAGCGGAAGCCTCAGGCAGCTTTCGCGAGTGGGGAAGGGGTTTACACCAGAAGTGGCTAGACACCAGCGGAGAGCGATCAGACAGGGATAATGTGGTTGGAACCGGTGCACTCAGGATACCAGATGTTCGCCGTATGATCGCCCGTTAAGTACACCGATTCCAACCAGCATCTATACCAGCATAAATGCCCTGTCTGAACGCACCCAGTGTTAAGTAGTCTTTTTATTGGAGTGAAATGGAGACAAGGAGCTTGAAAAGGCTCAGCAATCTGAGGGATGTAGACTTAGACAGTCTTCTATTCAGTTACGAATGTGTGCTATTAATCCATTGAGTGGGATGGTGTGTTGATCGACACTCAGACATTCCTCATAACTGATGATCTTCAAGTGTAGTCCATGTTCAGCCAGTTTGCCCTCCTCCTCCTCAATGGGACAGTCTGTATCTTCCTTGGTGTATTCTGTAGTGAGGAGGAGGGAGCCCCCTCATGGGTGGGTAGAATACCACAAAGGTGGCAACAGCTCATTGGCTGGGAGGGGCCCCCTCCTTTTGAACCTTAACAGTCATAATTTTCTAGAAAAGTCCATCTTGGCCACCACAATCAGAATCTTGTCTGCACACGTGTACCAGATTCAGTATCACTTACAGGTAGGTCTCTTATTTTCTGTCAAAGGTTCCTAACTGTAACAGCTGTTCCTAGAAATGTCCCTACTCATCCTTCCTCATTATGATTTATGGAGGGGTTAATGGTGTCCCTCATTGTGCTCATAATTGCAGTATCCCCAAACATAGGCAGCCAAAACTTGATACAATGAAGAAAGTGGTCACTAGAGCAACACAGTAAGTCACTCTGAAGAGTGTAGAGAGACCGTCAAGTGCTACTGAATTAATTGTCCACCTTACAAGTAACTTTCAGTTATTCCTGGTTCTATAGAGGACATTTGTCCCTGGGGACTCCTAAGCATAAAGCAAATGTTTATAGATAGCTACATACTATTTTGTACCAAGTTCATAACATAAATGCTGGGTGATCTTGGGCCAGACACACACATTCAGCCTAACAATAGCCCACAGGGTTGTTGTGAGGATAACATGGAGGAGAGGAGAATGATGTAATCCCTTTTGGGTCCCCACTGGGGAGAAAGGCAGGGCACAAATGATACAAAAAATGTCAACTTGTTTCAAGCCATTGATAGCCCATGTATACTAGAGGAGCTCAGGTCAGCATCCGCAGGATCTCCTCTCCCAAACAGTATCCTCACATCAACCATGTGAGGTAGGCTAGGCTGAGAGTGAATGACTAAGTCATAATTACCTAATGAACTTCCTAACAGAACCAGATTTGAATCTAGCTATCCATTGTCCAACAATATTATACCACCCTGATTTTAACAGGATGACGGTGGGAAGGGGTGAAAAGGGATGGGGTGAAAAGGCATCTTTCCCTTTTGCTCTGGCAACATTTGGCAGCACTTCTGGCAATGGATGTGTGGTGTTAATGCTTAGCTCCCTGCGCTTCTCTTAGCAGAATATTGGGAGAGGAGTTCAAAGATGGCTACCGAGCAAGGATATAGTTGCCTCGCTGAAGGCTCTGTGGATGTTCCAACTTCCAGCCCTGAAGGCAGCCTGAACCTCAGTCCTTGCAGCCCAGGTTTTTGTCTCATCTCCCCTGCCATTACTGAACCCCACTGGCTGACCTCTGCACCACCACAGCCTGCATCACCTTCAGAAATGAATATCACTTTAGAAGAGCTCCTTGCTCCCATTACTGAAAAGCTCAAGTACTTGCTGAAGAAAGCGGAAGACTTCCAGACATACCTGCTATACAGGTGGCAGAGGATTGGGTCGGGGTGGGGAACAAGCAAGGGATGTGGCTTCTTGTTAACAATGATTGTTCTGCTTGCTGAAGCATGATGGTGAAGCAACTTTAAGGATGGAAGAGTGGCCATTTATAGTACAGAGTGTAGGAGAGCAGGCTGGGTTGGTTCTGGAATTGTAATGTAACTGTCAATCACATCCAGTTGAGAAGAGAGCTCCATATCCAGTTCTTCCTTTTCTTTTATGTGGCCACAACACACGCCCCCAGTTTAGGCTCTCATCAACCCGTTGAGCAGGTTACGTACCCTCTCTTGTGAATACTTTTGTTGGGCACCAGGGAAGATTGGTTGGTTTTTTTCCCTGCAATGGACTCTGAGGCAGCAGTCTCACTTTACGCAGGATGATTAGAAGCAGCCCAAGTCCATGCTGCTCTTGATTTGCCTGGATGCCCTGGTTAAGGATGAAACTAAGCTTGGCCCCCCAAGTGCTATACAGAAGGCTGGGGTGGAGGATACTCTGTTTACATGCCAGCTCATTAAGGGTTTCAAAGGGATCATCATGGGATGTCATGCTCAAGGGTTCCCAACATCAAACCCATCTCCAGGTTGTTACTAGGTACTCTCCTAATTGTAGAATATGTAGTGCAGTGTCAGCATGAATGCAATAGCAGGGTCAGTCCCAAATAGCAGGCTGCAGGCAGCATGGCTTAGTAGAGGGCAGTTTCTTCCCTGAACAAGTGCTGAGCTAAAGACTGTGTGGTGACCATACAACTGTCCTATTTTAGTAGAGACAGAATGCAGAAGGAACAATTTGCCAAAGCAATGCCCACATTCCTGCAGATGTGCCAGCCCTACTTCCACTATCTGGAATCCACAGCAAGAAGCTGCACCCCTTATTTAAGACCTCCCCAGGAGCCAGTGCGGAGGCGGGTGAGTCTGGAGGGAGAGGGCAAGTTCTGTTACAGTTGAGAGGTTTATTTGCTTCAGTCTTCAGCTCAAAATGCCGCAAATCTGAGAAAGAGGTTAAAGGGGATTATTTATTTACAGTATTTATAACCTAACCTCTCTCCAAATACAGGATTCAAGGAGACTACTGCTATCTTTAAAATGTCAAGCACATTAAAAAAACAACATCCATCAACAATTAACTAAAAAAAACCCTGATCCTGTAAATCTTATTTCCTATCAAAACACTAATGGAATGCCCTTCTAAAAACCTGTGCCTTACAGAGCTTTCTAAAACTCAGTAAAGGGGGGTTTCTTGACAAGTTTATAGGATGGTGGGATATAAATGCGAATAAATAAATACGTTCAGAAGGGCCATTCCACACCACGGTTGCAACCACTAGGGATGGGCATGAACCAGGAAAATGTGGTTTGGTTCATGGTTCGTGGTGTGCCTGGTTCACAAACCATGGACTATCACAAAGTTTTAAGTGTCAATCGAACTGGTTTGGTTTGTGAAGTTCGTGACCCAGTAGAACGCCCCCCCCCCCCCGCGTGTTAGACACACCAAACTCTCAGGAGGTCTCAGGCTGACTTGCCATTGCAATTTGCTCCTGCCAAGTCTCTCCACACAGCTCCTGGAGATCTCCCAACAACTGGCCTGCCAACTTGAGCAACTGGTACTGATGTACGCTTCTTTCAGCTTTGTGTCCCTCGAAGACACAGACCCATTCAGGTAGGAGGTGATCTCCAAGAGAGGTCTAAGCTGCATGGTTTGTTCCCTGGAGTTGCTGCAGAAGCAGCTATAATGCCATGAGGCCAAGAATGAAGAGTTCTGTAGTTGGTGCTTGCCAGTTTCTTGAATGTGTAGAGTGGAAGAAAATTAATTCTTTCAACTAAATTCGTAGCAGCTGGTTTTTCATCATGAAGAGTACAAGTTTTGCCTGAAGATAAAGACTTTGTCCTCCAGAGGGCACAGTTGCACATATTTTTTCACAAAAGATTTTTGTTTAAAAAACCCCTAGCTTCTAAAATTTTCCTAAAGGTTTCAATACTTGGTTTTTTAATTATCTTTTTTGTCATAATTATTGTTTAGATTTATTAGGCTGGATACAGCCACCTTTCTAATCCAATCTTGCTGAATTCTCTTTACTACTGTCTTACATGGCTTTTATCCATGCAGGTCCCATAACCACCAACAAAGCCTTCTTGGTGGTCAAATGGGACCTCCTTTTTCACCAATGGGAAACCTGATTGGATCCAACTCATTGTTTCAATTTTGGAAAGGTATTTGGAATGTAAAATACACCTAAAGTAGACTAAGATCTTCATATTCACACTCTGTTGAAAGTAATTACTTTTATAATCCAAAGTGTATTCATTAGCTTTTCCTTGCATTTTAGAAGATATTTCTTCCAATCAAGAGTGTACTTCTGTCTCAACTCCCTTTGTTCACATTCCCTCACAAGGCAGAGGCAGAATTCTGTTCTAACCTTTCCATTTCCAACTCTCCACCAGTGTCTCATGTTTCTTCTGTGGAAAATTTTGGTTGAATGAATCACACCAAGTTTCCATCTTCCAGTACTGCATCTCAGCACCTTACACAGCTGCCCATGTTCCCCGCAACCTATATAAGAAGATGCGCTGGAACCTTGACATTTTGGAAGGGCCTGCTGGCCGGAATCAAACACACCGCACAGAATAGTGAGTTGCTGAACAATCCAGAGGTGGGAGGTGTGGGTGGAGAGGATGTAAACGGATAGGCAGACCTACACAATGCCAGTTCTCCCTGCTTCCAGTGCTGGTAAGGTAGTAAATTTCATGGGGCTATGATGTTGAGCAGCTGTCACTGTCATTGATGGTTTATTATATTCCCATTCCTTGAGCTTCTTTGAAACATGCATGACCTTTCCATCCTTATTCTTTGCTGCCTGTATGTGATCTTGTGCATTTGTTCTAGCTATTTCTTATGCTTCCGAGATACGGGAGATGAAACAACGGTGAAGATGCAGAAGCTCTGGTCCATTGGACGCTGGGTGCCTGTGGACCCTGACAGTGAGCACAACTCTGATGTGCTCTCCTGGTGGGTATGCAGCCCAATAGTGCTGTCTCAAACAAGGAGGAGCTGACTTTTGTCTATCGTGGCTTACTGTTATTACAGTCGATGAAATCCACTAGTGCATTTAATAATTACAAAGCAAGAGCACATAATCAAGGTCTCTTAACAATTAAGGCATAAGTAATCCATGCTAAGTGATCATGACAATACACTCTCTCTTAAGAACACACAACATTATCTTAGTCTACTGCATCAGACCAAGGTTCATCTAGTCCAGCATCCTCCACAAGAAAACCATCAACCCCAAGGTGGCCTTCCTGAAAGAAGAAGAAGAAGAAGAGATTGGATTTATACCCCGCCCTTCACTTGAAGTCTCAGAGCGGCTTACAAACTCCGTTCCCTTCCCCTCCCCACAACAGACACCCTGTGAGGTGGGTGGGGCTGAGAGAACTCTGACACAAACTGCTCTTTTTCAAGGACAGCTGTGCCAGAGCTTGTGACTCACCCAAGGTCACATCAGCAGGTGCAAGTGGAGGAGTGGGGAATCAAACCCGGTTCTCCCAGATTAGAGTCCAGACACTTAACCACTACACCAAACTGATTGGTGATCTACTAGTTTCCATCTAACCTTGTGTAGAAGTGACTATTTGCTGAGCATTGCTTTATTAGTTCAATGTGAACTACTCAATTCACAAAAAAGGTTCTAGAGCAACTTTTTATGTGTTATCCTCTAAGATTTTTTTAAAATAAATGTTTCCATTTTAAGAAGGGTCTGTGATTGCAATAATATTTCTAATTATAGTGTAGTATACTCTAAGGATTTTGATAAATTTTAGTCCCTGTTAAATGGAGCTTAACTCTGAGTATTGTCCATGTGATTCTCACTTACACAAACCCCCTGTTGAGAAGCAGCCTTCACTAGCATCCATTTCCTACTCTTCTGAGAATTATGCAAGATGAAATTCTGCCCATGAACAGACACCACCTTACTTTCAGGAGCCAAGGTCTTGTTAGATTAATTAGATACAGCTTTGGAAAAGCTGTCACAGCAATATCTAGTATGACTGACATACACATTTCAAGCCTTGATAGGGAAACAGAGATATATAATATTGAAAATGCACTTGTTGCATTGTCTTTGGTACTGAAATACATCCAACATGAAAACCAGGATGGGCTTATGTGTAAGAAACTCTGCACCACCTCCAGATCAGATACGATTTTATGGCATTTCTTCCTGAATGCAATGTGGGATGCGGCCTGAAATGTGTATAAGCAGCTACCCCTTTAACTTCCCACGCATTCTTTACTTAGTAAACTTCAATACAGTTGACACCTGCCTGTTAGTTCAATATCCTGACTGAAGACTCTTGGCTGAATGCCAATGCATGTTTTCTGGAAGAAAAAAGACATATAGAAACATCAGTGAAAATAAATATAAGAAAACCTCAAGCACAGAAAATTCTGTAGCTCCTGGGAAAAGGTGTTTTCAGAATGGACATAGTCTGTCAGTAACAACAAGGCTCCTATATAACTAGTTTCCACTGAAAGTGCCAAGAAAAGATGTAGGATGAAGGGATTACATGCCTGTTACAATTAGAATGGACCTCTACGTATTCCTAAAGCCATATCACAGATCTGCTGCAGTGACTGACATTAATACTAAGGGGTTGAACTTACCTAGCTTGCATGGATGCCACTTCTGCTGCCATTGTCTTTTTCTTTACATAGGGTACTGTGTCGTCAGCCCAAGGGGGACTACCAGCAGCTCCTGACCGTCGGCTTTGAGGAACCCTCCCACACCTCAGCGACAGACCTCTTGGTGCAGTTGCTGAATGTGCAAAGTTCTGGTCTGTTTAACTGTGAGTCCTCTTGTCAGGGGAGCTCAGGGGAGCAGGTGCAGTAGAAGGTTCTCACCAGCTGTCTGTTATCACAGAATTCCAAAGGACGCAGTCTCCTACTTCCTGGCGCTGCCACTACTACTTCAGCAAGCACACTGTGACATTAGCTGGTATCTCCACATTATCTGTCATTTTCCCTTACTTTGTGCACCTTAGTGCTGAAACGGAAGATCCTTATTTTCTCCTAGATCCCACTTTAACCTCCTCGTGCCTGCACTGCTTACACTGGGATTCAGAGTGATGTTTTTAGATGAGGATATAGGTTGCAAGTCACCCTTCCTGCTGCTCTCCTCTACCTGGTCCCACCATCTACTTTGAGTTAATCAGCTTCAACAAATACTCAGGCTCTAGTGTAGTGTAGTGGGATGGGCCTGGAAGAAAGAAGAGTCCAGATTTCCTTCCTTCAATGGATGAGTCTGTCCAGAGATTAGTTCCCTACTACAAAATACTACAGGTGTTTGTAATATCCCAGCAGCTCAGCTTTGCCTTCTTGTGCTCCCCATTTTCATCTGAGCTCCAGTTACCTTGCTGTGGCTCAAGGCAACAACATCTGGAGTTTTTAATTTTAAAGAAATATTTGTTACTAATAAAATAAGCTCTGGCTCTGCTTCTGACTCCTTTCATTCTGGTAATCATTTTCAGTCTTTTTATTATTTTATAACAAACAAACAAAGACAGACAAGAAAAACAAACATTAGTACATACAAACATTCAATGGGAGAAGCTCCGACTCTTTGATTTAACTATTAAGTTGTCCATATATCACTCAATAAAAGTATGATTCTACATCTTATAATGTTAAATATACCTTTTGCACAGTTTAATGTAGATGTTCTCATTGTCCTCTATTTCGGTTGTATTCACATTTCATTTAATGTATTCTTCAATCAAACTGTAAAGTTTTGACCATGTATTTTCAAAGTTTTCCTCCTTATAGCCTTTCAAAATTAATTTGTCAATTTCAGCAGTTTCAAGTAGTTTGTTTATTATTTCTTCTTTGGAAGGTATCTCATCTCTTCTCCAATATTTGGCATACAATATTCTAGCAGCTGTAACTACATGTACAATAAGATAAGAACCTTGCTTTTTACAATATTCTGGAAGTATATTCAATAAAAACAATTCTGGTAAAAAGGATATATTACTTTTTAAATTTTTTTGCAATATTTCATGTATCCAAGCCGAAAACATTTTACTTTACTCACAAGTCCACAACATATAAAAGAATGAACCAACCTTTTTTTTGACATTTCCAACCATCATTTCACATATTAAGATAAAATTTAGATAACTTATGTGGTGTAATATACCATCTATTTTATAAATACCACCATTTTATAAATATTTTTGTGGCATCCTGCTTATTGGGGAGACGGTTTTACCTTTAAAACACTCTCTGTGTACCTAAGCTTGGTAGATTTCTGCTGCCACCAGGAATTTAAAAATCCAAATCTCTCTCTTTTGGTAGAATGACCTAGGGTCTGGGCACTTCAAAGGACTATGTGGCCCTGAGGAAGGACTATTCTGATTTCTGAGATAAGTTTAAACAAAAAAATGTTTTGTTTAATAAAGAACAAAATAGGTTTCTGGTTATTTTGAACTGTTGCTAATGAAAGGAACTTGTAAATATAACTGACAAAGCTTGGAGTCACAAACAATCTCTCAAACTCCCAAAACTCCACTCTGACAGGCGTAGACACTCAGTCTAATCTCTCTCTCTCATCTATATAGCCACACAGGCTGAACTCTTTGTCTTATTCAGAGAATAGACTCAAAGCTCATATTCACACAGACTAAACTGTTTGTCTTATTCACACAGAATAGACTCAAAAACTCCCATAGTTACACAGACTATCTTCTCTCTTCACACTCAGAATCACCTCATAGACACCCCTCCTCCCACACTCTCAGTCGTCAGCTAATCACATCACACTTATCTCCCTCTATCACTCTTCTTACAGTACTGCAGTCAAACTAAACATGTAAAGAAACACACACACCAAAAATGGAATCATTATAATTTTCTTTGTAAGAAATTGCTTTGGTAATTTTTATATTTGTTTTCCATATCTTAGACCATTGATCTAAATCAATATTATGGCCCAAATTTTGAGCCCATTGAACCATAGAACATTTAACCACTTCATCTTGGGTTTTAATTTCTAACATTGTAACATACAATTTCTTAATAAGCTTATCATCAGTATAGATCAATATTTTATCTATTTCAGTTGGCTTTTCATAGAAACCCATTTGTTTATCTTTAATAAATCTTGATTCTAATTTTCCTCTTTCCCAACAACTCATATTTGTATCTTGTTTTTTGAGGTTCTCTACTGTCTTTAGTTGGTTTTTATTATCCAAGAAGTCTTCATATCTGTACAATAAGTTTTTTTGAAATAAATTTGGGTTTGTAAAAGCTTCATATGGTGGGACCCATTTGGGTATTTTAGTATTAAAACGTCTTTTAGTTTCTTCCCATACTTTCAATAATGTTCTTCTAAGAAAATGTTGCTTGAAGTATTTATGTATTTTATCTCTATCATACCACACAAATGCATGCCATCCCAATATTAAATTGTGTCCTAATTTTAATAACCGTGTATTTTGCAAAGTAATCCATTCTTTCACCCAGGTCAATGCAGCTGCTTTATAGTATAGAAACCAGTCTGGAAAAGCAAATCCAGCTCTTTCCTTTGCATCTTGTAGGGCTTTTAATTTAATTCTTAGCTTCTTATTTTGGCATATAAATTGTGATACCAATTTATCAAGTTCTTTAAAATAATGTTGATTTTGCATAATTGGAATTGTTTGGAATAAAGCCCCCCAACTTTGGTAAAACATTCATTTTTATGGTAGCTATTCTTCCCATCAAGGATATCTGCAAGTTTTTCCATTTCTCCAGATCTTTCTTAATTTCAGTTAAAAGTTTTATGTAGTTATCCTGTAATAGGGAACTACATCTGTTTGTTAAATTTATTCCTAAGTATTTAACCTTCTTTTGGACTTCAATACCTGAAATTTCTTCCAATTTGTGTATTTGTTCTTTAGTGATGTTCTTTGTTAAAATCTATGTTTTATTAAAATTAATTTTCAGTCCAGCCACACGACCATATTCTTGCATTGTTTTCAAAAGTTGGATCACAGAGTCTAGTGGATTTTCTAAAATAAATACCAAGTCATCTGCAAAGGCTTCTAATTTATATTCTTCTCCTTTTATTTTCAGACCTCTAATCTGCATATCTTCTCTGATCAGATTGTTCAATGTTTCCAATACAAAAATAATGGGGAAAGTGGACATTCTTGTTCTAGTTCCTTTTTGTATCTGAATATTTTGTGATAAGTCCCCATTAACCAGTATCTTGGCTTATTGTTTAGTATATATTGCTTTAACCATTGTATAAAATTCCTCTCCACATTGCCAAGCTAGTAATTGTTCTAACATAAAATTCCAACTGACATTGACAAAAGCTTTTTCATCATCTAAAAATATTAAAGCCATCTGTTTCTCTGGGTGGGCTTCAAAATATTCAGTTACATTTTATATAGTTCTTACATTATTTCTGAGTTGACTTTTTGGTAAAAAAAAAACAACCCTGCTTGATCTTGATGTATTATTTGTACTCTTTTCAATCTTGCTGTGAGGATAGAGGCATAGATTTTGTAGTCCACATTTAATAAAGAGATTGGTCTATAATTTTTGATTTCTCTCTTGTCTGTATTTTGTTTGTGTATTAAAGTAATCAGGGCTTCATTTGAGGTCTCTGGTATTTTGTTTTCTACTAAAATATTCTGTATTACATATTTTAAAGGGATAATTAATTGATCTTCAAAAATCTGGTAAAATTCAGCCAGAAAGCCATCAGGGCCAGGTGCTTTCCCTTTCTTTCTTTTTAATGCTTCTGTCAGTTCAGAGATGGTATTGGATCATTTAAGGTTTTCATTTGTTCTTCTGTAAGGTTTTTTTAGTCTTCTTTTTTTTACGGAAGTCCTTAACCTCTTCTTGTTTGGCTTCTCTTTTCTGATATAGCTTCTCATAAAAGGTTTCTACAATCTTTTTCAGGTCTTAGGTATATTTTTTTCTTCTCCTTTTTTATCTATCATTATCTTTGTGTCTTTTTTCTCTTTCTTTCCACAATTTGTAGGCTAGCCATCTGGTTGGTTGGTTTGCATTTTCAAAGTAGTCTTGTTTCGCATAAATAATTTTTTTTTGCTTTTTCTTGTGTTAACAGACAGTTCATTTGATGTTGTAACATCTTTATAGTACTTCTTGTTTGTTTAGTTGAGAGACCTTGTTTCATCTTATCTTCTTTTTAACGTTGTTCTTCAATCTTTGTATATTTTTGTTTCTTTTGTTTCCTAATCTTCCTTAATTATCCAACCTCTTGCATAGGCCTTAAAAGCATCCCATACCACTTGAATGGAAATATCTGGTTGGATATTTTGCTTAAAGAACATTTGAAATTGCTTTTTAGAGTCTGGTACAAATTTCTCATTTTTCAAAAGGAAAGTATTCAAAGTCCATCTTTTCCTCTTTGGTGAGTCTTGTAATGTCAAAAGTAAAGGGTTATGATCTGCAAATGTTGCTGGTAAGATCTCTGCTTCCACCAGGTCATTTATGATTGTCGATGAGATCAAACACATGTCTATTCTTGACCATGACTTGTGTCTTGCAGAGTAATATGTAAAGTCCTTCTTTTGGAAGTTTCTTACTCTCCAGGCATCCACCAAATTATATTCTTCTGCAAGTTGTAGAAAGTTCTTAGGAAGTTCATTACCTTGTTTCTGCTTTCCAGTTTCTGTTTTTCTATCTAAGGTTCTATCAAATACTGCATTATAATCTCCAATCAAACATATTTCTTTTCTCTCTTTTTTAAAGGTTTTATTAGTTTTCTACACAAGAAAAAGAGAAACAACAACTACAGGCAAAGAAAGACTAACACAGAACAAACATGGAACTTGTATTCATTATAACTGTTTAAATTTTACATAAATAGATTCATTCTTTTATGCACCTAACCAATTTAACCATTTGAAGTATAGAGCTTATGTCTTAATAGTTATGTTATACATCTTCTGAGATATTCCTCAATCCATTTATAAAATCTTGACCAGTTCTTCTCAAAGATTTCTTTTTTATCTTGCAACTGTAAAGTTAATTTGTCCATTTCCACTGTTTCCAGTAGTTTATAAATTATTTCTTCTTTTGATGGAACTTCTTTTCTCCAATACTTTGCATACAAAATCCTAGCAGTGGTTATAACATGTATAATCATATAAGCATCTGGTTTCTTAAAATTCTCTGGGATGATATTTAATAAAAACAATTCTGGTACAAATGGTTCCAGCATTTTTTTGCAATATCTCATGTATCTATATCCAATTTTTTTTGGTTATCTTACAATACCAACTACATATGAAAAAAGAACCAACATTTTGCTTACATTTCTAACATACGTTTGACATATTTGGATACCATTTTGCTAAGTCTTCTGGAGTCATATGCCATCTATAAAACATTTTTATATATATTTGTTTTCCATACCTTAGTCCATTGGTCTAACTGTATGTTATGCCCTATGTTTTGTGCCCATCTAATCATTGAAGATTTTACTATTTCATCTTGCATTTTCATATCTAATAACAAAGTGTAAAATAATTTTATAAAATTTTCATCTATATACAATAAGATTTTATCCAATTCTATAGGCTTATCATAAAAACCAGCTTGTTTGCGTATTTAGAGTCAAGTTGCGCCCTTTCCCACCAGTTCAGATAAATACCTTGTCTTTGGAGAGTTTCTTGCGAGCTTAAATTATTTTTCTTGTCTAAAAGATCTTTGGTAAATAAGGTGGGATTTATAAAGGCCTCTAACGGTGAAACCCATTTAGGAATTTTTGTGTAAAACATATTCTTAACCTCTTCCCATATTTTCAGCAATGCTGCTCTTAACATATGTTTAAAATATTTGTGTATAGTGCTTTTTCCATACCATACAAAGGCGTGCCAACTTAGTTTCAAATCATGACTTTCTAACTTTAACAGTCTTGGATTTTCCAACGTGATCCATTCTTTCATCCATGTCAGGGCTGCTGCTTTGTAATAAAGTTACCAATCTGGTAATGCAAACTCTCCTCTTTCCTTTGTATCCTGTAATACCTTCAAATTTATTCTGGGACTTTTACCTTGCCAGATAAATTGCCGTGTAAGTTTATCTATTTCCTTAAAATTGGAATTGTTTGAAATAGAAAAAGAAGTCTAGGTTTCAATTCTTCCCATGAAATTTAGTTGTAGGTGTTTCTAGTTTTCCAAATCTTTTTTAAATAGCATTTTTATTGATTTTTATATATATTTTTACAACATATATTACTTGTTAGTTGTACACAGTATCATTCAACAACATCTAATAAACAAGAAGAGAAAAGTTAACCATAAGCACAAAACTTATTAATAAAACACAAAATCTCTATATTTCTGAGGGTTGACAAGCAGTAATATATTCAAAAAACACAAACCATTTTTCCAAAAAATTATTAACACCTTTCGGATTGTCAAAAGCTATTAATTGCATAGCAATTTTATCTGAAACTATCAAATCCCACAGTTTAGATCACCATTGTGACAGGTTTGGTATCTTAAACAATTTCCTTTTTTTTTACTGTTTATTTTCAAAAATGTTCAGAAAAATAAACATTTCATCATATTAGATTGTACATATTTTAGAGTTGTTAATCCATATTTACATTCTTAACACACGACAGAAGCTATTTACTTCTTTATTATTCTGTTACATGTTTTATCAATTCGTATACCCTAAGCCACCTTTGTTTTTGACAATTGTGGTCTTTATCTTGTAATAATAAACTCAAGTTATCCATTTGAGCTAACTCCAAGAGTTTAATATTTAGGTCCTCTTTTGTGGGTAATTTATCTGTCTTCCAATTTCTAGCCACTAAGATACGTGCCGCAGTTATTATATATACTATCAAGTATTTGTCTTGTTTTGTATAATCTCTTGGGATCATATTCAATAAATAGATTTCAGGCGATAATTCCATCTCTAAATTAAATATTTCAAAAATATTTTTTTTGTACCATTTTCCAAAACTTACGTATTTTACAACATTTCCACCACATATGATAAAACGTCCCCACGTTTGTTTTACATTTCCAGCATCTATTAGATGCTTGCGGGTAACACTTAGCAATTTTATCTGGGGACCAATACCACCTGTGGTACATTTTATAAATGTTTTCTTTATAGGCAATAGCTCTCATAAATTTAATAGATTTCTATATTGTATCCCATTGTTCACATTCTATCTGTTTTCCCATATCTTGCATCCAGGATATCATAGTCGACTTGATATTTTCATCTAGCTCATAATCCTCTAGCAGGAACTTGTATAATCTCTGAATTAATTTGTCGCTGGACGACAACCAGATCTTATCCAGTTGATTATTCGTATCATCAAAGCCCCTTATTTTGTCTTTACCAAATCTATCTTGTAGAAGGGATCGCTCCCACCATGTTAATATAACTTGATGTTCCTTTCTTAATTTCTCCTCTGTTTTTAGAGTATTATTCTTTTATAATAGTATATTATAGTTGACCATTTATTTTTTAACAGAAGTGATGGTTTTATAAAAGCTTCCAACGGCGATACCCATCTAGGTGTTTTTCTATAGAACCTCTCTTTTATCTCACTCCACACCTTATTTAAAGCTCCTCTTAATACATGTTGAGTGAAGATTGAATGTACTTTTTCTTTATCGTACCAGATATACGAATGCCACCCCATATAAAGGTCATGGCCTTCTAGGATCAATGTTCTACTATCTTCCAGTGTTATCCATTCTTTAATCCAGGTTAATGCCGCTGCCTGGTAATATAGTCTCCAGTTTGGTACATTAATCCCTCCTCTTTCTTTTCTATCTTGTAACACCTTCCATTTAATTCTAGCCTTTTTAGGATGCCAAATAAATTTTCTGGTAACTTTATCTAATTCCATAAAAAAATTCAAATTTTTTAAAACAGGAATATTTTGGGCTAAGAAAAGGAATCTCGGGAGTACATTCCTTTTTATCGTCGCTATTCTACCCATCAATGATAACGGTATGTCTTTCCATCTCAACAAATCATTTTTTATCTCTCCCAATAGTTTATAATAGTTATCTTCGATTAGAGAACTTGCTTTATTAGATACATTAATTCCCAGATATTTTACTTTTTTCACTACCTCCATCGATGTTACCCTTTGAATTTCTTGCTTCAAATCTGGTTGGCAGTTCTTTGTTAACATTTTTGTCTTTTTCAAATTAATCTTAAATCCAGCTACTAAACCATATGCTGTAATTTCTTCCATCAACACGGGAATAGATTTTTTTGGATTCTCTACTATGAATAGCAAATCATCCGCGAACGCCAAAAGTTTGAATTCTTCCCCTCTTGCTTTTAGACCATTTATCTGCTCATTATTTCTTATAGAGTTATTTAACACTTCCAAAGCATATATAAATAATAGCGGAGATAGTGGACATCCCTGTGTAGAACCTTTTTGCACAGCTATATCCCTTGTTAAGTCACTATTTACTATCACTTTAGCATATTGTATTGAGTATATTGCCTTTAGGTAAAGGTAAAGGTTCCCTTGCTCGAAAGCCAGTCGAATCCGACTCTAGGGTTGCGGTGCTCATCTCCGTTTCAAAGCCGAAGAGCCAGCGCTGTCCGAAGACATTTCCGTGGTCCTGTGGCCGGCATGACTAAACACCAAGGTGCACGGAACGCTGTTACCTTCCCACCGAAGTGGTCCCTATTTATCTACTTGCAATTTCTTGCTTTCGAACTGCTAGGTTGGCAGGAGCTGGAACTAGAGACAGGAGCTCACCCTGTCTTGCGGCACCCGGGTCTTGAACCACTGAACTACTGACCTTCCACAGCCTGCAGTTCAGCGTCATAACCACTTGAGCCACCGCAGCTCCATATTGCCTTTATCATAGACCAAAAATGGCTTCCGCACTCCTCTATCTCCAATTTTTGTAGCAGAAAGTTCCAAGATAAGTTGTCAAAAGCTTTTTCCGCATCAAGGAACATCATTGCTACTTCTTTTTCGGGATGTGATTTGTAATATTCTAATATATTAATAACTATACGCAAATTATTTTTAATCTGTCTCTTAGGCAAAAAACCTATTTGATCCTGGTGAATGGTTTGAGCTAGGACCTTTTTCAATCTATATGCTAATATACTAGCGAATATTTTGT